TACTGTGCTTTCGTTGCTTCACTAGTCTCGGTTTATCAGTTTCATTTTGGTAAAACCTGTGAACTCTTGTGAAGCTGGAGCAAGCTCGTCAAGCCATCATGGTAAAACCTGTCAACTCGAGAAGAGGCTGTCTAGATAGGTCGACACGTCGATGGGAAGTAGCAAAAGTGCAAAATGCCCCCCCCCCCCTTCCGTCGCCAAACTCCCACGTAGAATTGTGTTGCTACTGTTAACAGAAAAAGATAAGCATTGTTATGTTGAACCTTTCGTGACAATGGTGAGATCATTCTCTTCCAGCAGTGTGACTTCAGTCCCTACCACTTTTTTGGCGAGTAGGGAAATGCTCTTGAATGGATGTGACACTCTGGTCCCCAGGAGGCCTATGGAGAGACGCATGCATATGTTATGGACACAAAATGTCTCAGTCGAAAACGTCGCTGGGGGCACATCGGGAACCGCAGAATGAACGGCGCTACATGCAAGTATTTTGTCTACCCTTTCCTCCACCACTTTTGGGGATATTTTTCACCCTTTCTACACTACTTTTGGGTCAAAATATTGGTCTGGGTGGAAATGGCACCCAAGCGTAGTTTGACCCCCACCAACCATTTGGCGCGACAAGGATAGGCCAACAACTGGCTCTCAAAGATGGATCGATTTCGTGAACCTGGACAGAAAATATCTTTGCGCTAGCGCCGAATACTATGCCCAACAACTTTTTTCGCACAATCGCCTATAGCGCGCACGACGAAGTTTTGTCGCTGCTCTGGTAAATGGAAGTAAAGCCTAATCTTCCGAAAAAAGGGCGAATTGGAAGGCTAGGGCGGCATATATCCAACCACATTTCACATTTCTTAGAGCCGAAATCTGAAATGGAAGAATGCTCTCTGGAGAACAACTGAACACCAAGGGTCCTAATTTTGTGTTATCTCTCTGAAGTGAGAAGATCTCAATTTTTTTAGACCAAGCCGAGTTGTTCTCTTTCTCGTTGCTCTACGCGACGGGTTTCTCTAATTGAACGGCGCTGTGTCGCTTTGTCGCACGATAATGAACAAATTGAATTTGAAAGAAGGAGTCTATGCATGGTTGGAGAAAATTGCGCGTATAATAAAAAGATCCCACGACGGAGAAGAGGTGGGCGGAGAAGAAGTGGGAGGAATTTTGCGGGAATGCAAAAAACCACACCATTATCAAGAAAAGCGTTAGAAGAAACCGAAATCTCATGGAGGTGGCTGATTTAATTAATTTAAAAGTCAGCAATCTCTTTCAGAAGCTCTGAACAGAATACGACCCTATAC